TTTGGGAGCAGGCAACAATTTCTATTACTATTTTGACAGGAAGGAAATCTACTGTCTGATTGTACAACAAGTGAACCGTGAAGGGCTCAGTGTCACACACGGCTGCTGATGGACACTTTGGCTGTTGGAACTGAAACTGAAACTTTCTGCAGCAGGAATCTGTGATTAAAACCCAGATAACAAACCTGTTGTGATGTCAAGTCTGGCTGAGTCACTAAATCTGAATGTCATATGATATGTGTTGTGTTGCCCTTATACAAAAAAAAATCCTTCCTACATTGGTCTACATCGGTTTATCACACTTTGTTGCATAATAGCCATAAAATTCATTAGCGTTTCAACACTGACAAAAATAGAAAGATTGAAGACACAAGCATACAACTGTTTACAAAGGTCCGGGGTATGACACGGTTGCTCATCTTTTAAGCCAACCTTAGCCTTAGAAAGATGAACAGGTATTAAAGACCAAATCTCAAGTTACAGGGTATGTGACAGCCACACAGTCCAACCCGTATGATACCAATATACCATGTAATGTATAGAGATTAACACTTCTGTTCAAAGGATGTTACGGGTTGCAGGAAGTAACACTGAAGAACACTGAATAAAACAAAACATCCAGTGTATTTTTGGAGAAGGAAATATTAAAAAGAAAGAAGAGAAAGAGACACAGACATAAAGCAGTGCCACAAAGAAGAGGCAAGAGATTGAAGAGTAGTTGTAAGCTTTGGTGGAGAGGTTGTAAATTTGGGTCCTAACAATGAGAGGACTTACCAGACCAGCAATGGGTGTTGGCAGTCTGTTAATCTTCTTCACCAGACCAGGTTTAATGGAGCTCAGCAACCTAATAAAAAGACACACAGGGCAGAGCACATCTAAAGGTGAACTTTGAATCAAAAACGAGAAGTGCCTTTAAAACTTCGTCTTCACCTTCATGACGAGTAGAGAGGAATACATCGAGAGATGAATCATGAAGTTAAAACCAGGGGAAATAACTGCAGCCAAATGAGATGTAGAGAATGAAACTTGAGAGTGAGTGTCTCATTAGGGGAAATGAAAGAGATATTTTTTTTAAATAGTGTCTTGAAGGGGAATAACAAAACAGATTGTAGAACCACTGCTGCTCCTTCCAACCACACACAGCCACACACACACGCATGCGCACACACACACGCACGCGAAGAGGTCATGTGCTTCTATGTTTCCCAGAATAATGTGTGAGTAACAGTGAAGACAATATTTACACTCTTAAAAAAATTCCTTGGAATGAGAACAATCTTTCAGTGTATTTCCATTTTTTACAAAAAATGACAGAAAGAGCAACCGAATAGATTCTCTCTTCACTCTAATTTGTTTAAGATGGATTTCTGCCCGAGTGATTGATGAGCATTGGTTTAGATGACTATTACCACATTTAGCAAAGTTGATGTGATAGATTTAATGAGACACTTTTTGCCAGTTATCTGCAGGAATGTGTGTCTCATTTGTTTCCCCTGACGACTGTCACAGCCTGATGATGAAGTGGGAATAAGCACAAGAGTGAAAATGGATTTTCCTGGTTTTTAAAAAACAAGGACACAACCAAAACAAACTCAGCACATAAATACATCATCTTATGAGTAATTTAAAGGGACAAACATTTTCTGAAGCCTGAGGTTGGACGTTGTTGTGCTCTGTGAATTAGTCAGATTGAAAACCGTCAACAACTGTTCTCCACATGCTGCTGGGATACCATTGAAGTGCATTGCGTGACCGAACACTTGCAAGGTGTTAAGACAAGGTAATGGGGTATAACGGTTGATGATTAAATCAGTAACCTAAACGTTTGGACGGCTGCCCCAAAGGATCACATGTTTACTTGTTGTGTGTGCGGTAAAACCACTGCATGTTTGTGAAAGTAGATTATTGTGGTTTCACTTTTTCTTTTGTTGAATTCAACTTTGTTGATGGCTCACTGGATCACTGTACGGTTCACAGTATAGTTGAGTCTTGCAGTTATTGAGATTGTCTGGTCAGAGAAAGCAAAATGTCGGTGAGCCGTGAGTTTTTGGAAGAGTTCAAACATTGGTGACTGCTGATTGATCACTGATAAGGCTCCACTCTGGGGATTTTTTGTTTGGGGAGTTCCAGAATGTGGCCACCAGTGCAAAATTGGGCTCAGAATCATGTGACGTGAACAAAGCATTAGGGAGGACAAACCCCTTCTGAACATCTGTTATTATTGAAAGTAAAATAAATCGACTGCACAACATGGCTAGAACTAGGATTAGTGATAGTAAAATATAACCATCAAACTTTTTTCAGACCCATTATGAGGTTTTCATGACTTGTTTTGTTTGACCAATTGCCCAGAAATTATATAAATTGCCAATGACAACTGATTAAATAATCAATCCTGTGATTGCAATCATGAGGCCTATTACATCATTTTCATGATGTTAGAAATCATTGATAATACATTTATAAAACACCAACATTATCTAATTAAGGCCTGAAGGACAACGGAATCTTCCACGATATTCCAGAAATTCCAAAAGCAGTCGGACACTGTTAAATTGTTCCTGAGGTCTGTATTCACAATAAAGACGGTGTGCACACTGGGCTTGTGTAACTGAACTTGGCACAGAGGAATACAGAAGAGGGAAAGTGCAAGTGTCTGCGTGTGTTTTCAGTCTCATTTCAGCACCTCTGCTCATTATGAGCTGGTAAGACAAAAGTTCAAGCGTCACACTGGAGAACAATTCAACAGAACGCCAGTCTCTTTGACCACTGGAGCATGGTGCTGCAACAAATCATTGCAGATATGAAAGGGAAATCATGGTTATTGTAGGTTCACAGGATTGTTGTTTTCTTCTTTCAACTTCCTAAATTTCCCTCTGGAGCAATTTTAGTATCTATCAATCCACGAGCTGTCAGGATTGTATGGTACTGAAACGATCACATGCTGAAGACCCCGTATTCATTAATTGATTTAATAATAAACTTGGGAGGGAGGAATATTATTTAATTATTGAGGTCTCACGTAACCTATGAACATGACTTTTCAGACCTTAACACAGGTCTAGAATTTCTTTTTAAGTCAGAAAGGAAAACCATCGTTTTAATGCTTTAAATAAAATAGAAATGTCAAATTAAAATGATGTATATATCACGATCACATTAAGAAAGCATCAGTTCCCTCAAGAGAATAAGAACAAAGACAAAAGCTTGGGAACAGTTGATATACTAAAGACAGTTAGATTAAAGTTAAAGGTATATAGACAGAACTTACTCGCACAGCAGTATGCCATTCTCCAAGCCTCCTCTGAAATCTCTGTCACCAAAACATCTTCCTGTCACAGCCTACAGAGAGAATAAAAAGGAGTGTTTTAGCGAAATATAGCACAAAAAGCAGTTCAGATCAAAAACAAAAGATCAAAAGACCATTTCAGTTTCTGACAGACACACAAACTGCAACCAAGAAACAAGCGCAACGACCTTTATCAACACTCCTTTCACGTCTTTCCCTCACAGTAAATCCTGGGAATGGTATGAAGAGGAGCACAAAGAGTGGCCAGCCTTATATCAAGTCCCCCTCTAGTTAACAGTGCTAAACACTAACAAGCTTGACATAAGCCGCCATCATCCCGACCAAATGGCTCTGGCAGGCTAATGTGGCGTGACAGGGGATTTATCGGGTAATAGTTGCTCAGACCCTCTGAGGAGGAGAAGCTGTACGTTTGCATGACTACAGAGCATCATTAGGTATATGTGCATCCTTGTGGACAAATATTACAACACATGTATATTTGTCTTTTTATAGCTGCGAGCTAGAATACCAGACCATGTGCGAGGTTCAGCTGCAGCATGTGAAACACAATGAATCTGAATTGCTGTTTTCTGTAGATCCTGGTGTTCAAGCTTCAGCTGAAGTTTCAACCTCTCACCTTTAGTTATGAGAGTGAAGAGAACATCTTATAAATACATGCATCCCACATGAAGTCAAACAAAACACTCTCGTGCAAACATAAGCACCAACAGCGAAATAATAATTGCCTCCTACTCAGAAATAGCTGTTGCAAGACTTCTGTGTCCATTTAAAATCCATTTGTTCACACAAACACTGGCAGATATAAAAATGGAGGAACCCATTTGGACTGCCGGTTTAGAAGCCAAAACAATTACAAGATTAAATTTCCTGCGAGTTTCTTTCACATTTATTTGCACAGCTGTGGGGAGAAAAGAAAATAGTGTGGAGATGTAGAGTGTTCAGCCAGCTGTGCGTCTCTGTCGGCTTCTTGCCTCGACGTGGAGCTTGGACCAGCTACAAAAGAAACGGACTGCTGTATGTCAGCACGTCGGCCGTCAGAGGGCCTCATGTGGGGGCTTCCCTACTGAACAGTTTAGTAGGGAGCTAGACTGATGGAGATAGAGATAGAGATATGCAAATACAGAAAGGAAAGTGCCACAGTCATTCCCTGTGTGCTGACATTTAGCTGCTCGCCCCCAACTGCAGCAGCACTTGTGACAAAGACATTGTGTGCCTGGAGTTGACAACACAAAAGCGATGAGTGAAGACTGAGTGTGTCAAAGTCTTCTCCTCAGTGCAAACATATGGCCCGCAAATCTGACAAGCTGTGATGACAGTACATTGACTGGATGTGGAGGAACACATTATGCTATTTGTTGAGTCAAACATCATTTAGCAGTGTTAGCTAAGTGGCAACCTTCAAAAGCACTTTGGGGCAAAAAAAAAAGACGAAATAGGGAAACTTAATCTGAAAAACCTGCATTTTGTCCTCAGATGTTTAACACCTGTTGAAAGGTTAAAAAATCTGCCCACCTCTTAAGATCAGGAATTAATAGGTCAAATCTGGTTTGTTTCTGTAAAAGAACCAAAGAATAAAACTTCAGTTTCTGGATTTACAGTGGTACTTGATGGTCTATGTCTTGGCTGGGCAGGGTCACTTGTCATCAAGTCACAACATTACCCCCACAAACTGCTATTTTTATGAGATATATTATGTTCATTAGAGAGCTGTAGAGCAGGGGCAGGGGATAGCAAGCCTCTGCTGCTGGGAGAAAATTCATACATACAAAAAATTCTCATGACACCTACTTATTTTTTCTATCACAGAAGGCCAGTAAAGCTGCTCTAACCTTAAAGATTTATTATGTCTCTTTGACACAGGCAGTCTAATGTCGCTACACTGCAATTTCTCAATTATATAATACAGCAGGAGCAGTAGGATTCATGGTAATTATCTTCCTCCTCTCTTACCTCCTGCCTTTTCCATTAAGCTCACGCCTAAAGATACTTGGCCACAAAAACTCCTTTGGCTCTGCCCAGTGAGGTTTAACTTAATCAATGTGTTTAATTCCTTCTTCAGGTCTGCCAGAGAACTAAAGTGAAATTAAAAAAAGTGTTCTGTGTGCAACTATGACTAAATGGCAGCAGATGCAGTCTGTGGATGCAATTATTAGTCAATAACATTTCCATATATGATACACAGAAGAATGGCATTTCCAGATCTGATGTTACACACTGACATTCTGTGGTCTTGTACAAGAGGGAATAAACATTACAGCTATAGCACACTGGAGAACAGTATTCCCTGGTTTTGTTCATGAGAAAATAACATTTCATGGTCTGATCTCTGTGAAGATCCAGTGGCCTAGATACTTTTATATCAGCAGCCTAAAAAAACCTGCAGCCGAGCAGATGACCTTGATTTAGCAGCTCTTCAATAAATGTGTCAGGTGGATATCGGTACTGTGGTAAAACTGGACTGAGCTTTTACTTCTCTGGAATGTAGTTGTCACTGTTATCCAGAAACCCATCAGCATATGTACAACAAAACATGGTCAGGTTTCCATGTCTTCCTCACAAAATAAACTCACAGAGGAAAGCTCATGAGTTCGGCCTGTGTGCTTTGAGTTACAGAACTTTAATTCACTCCAGGTGATAATCAGTGTCTAAAATAAAAGCTCAATATTCTGTTTGATATTTGGGTGCATGCACATTATAAATTGCACATTTCTCTGTTTTATTTCTGTGTTTTAAATGTATATTGTCAGTATTGTTGAGTCTTGTTTTTAAATATGTACTGTGTGTTGTCAATTGTGAAATATGTGTGTACTGTTGAGTCCTGTCAAAAGGAGAATTTCTGTCACTTGCGACAGACAATAAAGTTTATCTATCTATCCATCGTCTGGCAACAATATAAGCCAACAGTAGTATTCAGCTTTTATGTTGCCTTGCTGCTCTTTGGCAGCGGCTCTAGAGCTACAGAGGATGTTGATTCATATACATCTGCTGCTCCCACAAGTGTCGTTCTGAGCTGAAGAGAAACTCTGGTCTAAACGTTTGAAGCAACAGACATTTGAACAACATAAAACACAGAATTGATATATTTTCTATATCATAGGAAGGATAAAAAACACATGAGTTGGCCATATCAAACTGCCATGAAGTAAAATTTTACCAGCCTTTCATAAAAAGGATGATTGGCTGGTGGGTTTAGCGTTTGCATTACCTTGCAGACTAATAAAACCTCCTGAGTTACAGCAGGAAGGTATCGTGCTAAAGTTGAGATGGCATGCAAGGAAGTGCTGTTTATAGTAGGTTAACAGCATAATGTCATTTGAGGTTGCTATTAAACACTAAATCAGAAATCCCAGGATACTCATCAGCATCAAATCGAACAAAGGAAGAAATAAAATACCCACAAAAGACCACCTTGAGTAAAGTTTTACTTTTTTAACAAAACAAATATTCATAGAGAGACTTAAGAATAAAAAGAGTCTAAGATAAAATCTGATGCTGCTGGTGGAGTAAAAAAACACCTTACTGGAAGAAAACCATCCTAAATGTGCTGGAAACCTCTGGATCTGTGTTTTCAAACCCATGCAGGGTCATATGAGGGGCCTCAATTAAAAAGAGGAATGTGTCGCGTTTGTTGTTTTCAGTGGAATGTCGCCCGCATTGTTTCACAAACAATCAAACGATGCCGGTTGGCTTTTTTTTCCTCCTTTTCACTTCCTTCCTCTTGGAAACTCTTTATATCTGAACTGGAGTAATTCTCATGGATTCATATCCAACAGCAGACATAGCTGTGTCCACAAAGAAAGGACGTGTCTGCTGGTTTAGAAACTGCACAAGTGAACTTTGCAGAAGCAAAAGTAGCTTTTTGCATAACTCTGCAACAGTACTTTGATGAATTATAAAATAGAAAATATGATGAAGTTCCAGCATGAAAACTCCCCAGAGATACTGCTTTCATGTTTCTGAGATTAAACATCAATGTGATGAGAAGAGATTCCTCTACAGTCAACTCTGTCTGGTATTGAACACAGCTCAAAGACACTACTGAAATATTACTGCCAAACAAAATAAAACATTTCAATCAGCATACAGAGAAAACACTGGCACTGCAGAATCAATCAAGACAGAAGCCAAATCAAGAACTAGCCTTAAAGCCATATGATCATAACCTGCACATCAAATGAACAATATGACAGCTACCAAGAGTGAAGCCAAAGCTTCTTGATCACCCCCTGATGGCTGGCATAAACCCTGCCTCCTCCATGTCAGTGGATAGGATATAGACCAAACTAAAACAAATAGACAGTTATCTGGTAGGTTTGGTCTTAAGTACTTATTTAAAGCTTCAAAATTGTGGTGAAACAACAGGATTTACAGCTGAGACTGACTTACGATTGGTTGACAACAATCACCACTGCACAGACTTAGCAAAATGTCACTGGGCACTGTATATAAATATCCATATATAGAGACAGTATGGTATTGGTTACAGTCAAATACTGATCAGTACTTTTTACTCTCTTAATGCAATCTCTCTGCCCTGAGGGCCATCTAATGAAAACAGACCTATTGCTGCGTGACTTTGATCTCGAAGGCCCCGCAGCATTGGACGACTCCCTTCACAAATTTAAGACCAATAATTCAAGGTTCGCAGACAGGCTGGGTTCCGTGACTGAGTAAAGTTAAAACACTACTTGCTTCATCGCCCAGAGGCAAACCACGATCGGCCTGTTGAAGAGTTGACAGCTGTAAGCCCAAGGGCTGGCAAACACAAACAGAGACGTGTGCTCCCAACCTACAGAGCAGCCTCCGTATCACACGCCTGCTTTGTAGCATTCTACCTTTCAAGATGCTGTCTTAAGTGTGTTGCTTAATCCTGACTGGATCCCACGCTTTGCTAAAGCCAAGTTCAAGAACACATGTAAACAAATCTTCTGGCCTGCAGCCAATAATCTCATTAATTCAATTTGGCAAGAGAGCGTAATCTGTAAATGCTTCTGGGGACAACAGTGAACACCCCGGCTGTTCAGTAATTCAA